GCTTACCAGATAACACAGTACAGTTCCATTTGAATTCAGATGACATTTATGTCTATGTGGCAAAGGTGTTTTATTCTGACTCAATTGTATTTGGTCTGATCAGGTTCTGGTGAAAGTTAACAGTAATTTGCCCCTTCTCTAGCCAAATTTTCCCAGGACCAGCCATGTCTGTGAAATGATACTTGCAGCTATGCTTTTCTGTACTCCTCAGTGACAAAAATTTCTATCCTAAGCCTCAGGCACTGCGAGAAGCCAATTTAATTTTGATTCTCTGCTACTTCTCTCTATCAGACAGCAAGCAATATTCAAAAGATACATTATTTCAGAAGAAGACTAAACCTATACGAAGAAACTTCAGTGTTGTGCTAGATTTTCTCCTTGTTCTTTCTGAGCCCTCCATCTACTCTTTGCAGAGAGTTACATGCAATGCAGCAGTTTAAAGACAGCCTGCCCTTCAATAAACAATCATCTCCTTCTAATGTGTGTCTTAGGACTTATTGCCCAAGTATTATCCTTTCTCCATCTACTCAGATTTTAAGAAAACCCAGTCATCACTGGGATGCAATTGAGTAAGAGATCGGATGAGTATGTATCAACATGAGGAATCTGTTCTCTCTAACCCCAAGCCTTCTCTGTTAATCTGAATCCAACAGATCAAAGAAAATTTCTACAAGCGTTTCAGGCATTCAACCCTACAAAGCCAACTACTGTCTGTCCAGCTGCCAAGTGCAAAGCTGCTGGTAGAAGTGGATATAGAATAGTGGTGTCTATGAAAAAAGACAGCTGAGGAAAAAAAACCCCAAGATGTCAGATGCCCAATGCACTGCCAGAAAAATCAAAATGCTCAACTTCATATAAGATGATACCTCAGGAGCTCTGAGATCAGGGGAATAGCAGGTAGAAGATTCTCCAAAATCTTCTATGCCAGTTACTTGTCATTACAAATATAATTTTGTAGGAGAAATTGGACTTACAGACTCAGATATACAAATAAAATATAGAAATAACCCTCTACAACTAGTAAAGCAATGTGGTTTTACACTCTTCTTTATCTATCTGAGGATAAAATTTTCCAGAATATGTTTGCCCATGTAACACAAGCTAATAAGGCTAACAGCCAGAGATAAGTTTAAGCTCTCACAGAAAGGCATAGAAAGAAAAAAGGGATCAACATAGAGCTCTATAGGTGACTGCAGAGCCCCCATGGATTCTTACTGCTCAGCTTCCTATTTCACTCCCCCTTTATAGCAATGTCATAAGAGCTATCATCACCTGAATCATTCTGATACCCTGTTCTCCAAAAGTACCTCTCCCTCTGTTTCAAATGCATTTGGGCCATTCCCTCTAGCAGTTTGATGCCACCTGAACACGGTTTAGCTTATACTCACCCATGTAATTGGAATAGTGTTCATTTTACATGGCCAAAGAAGACTGTACATGATTGCCTATGTAACCACAACCAGCCCAATCACCTGGAAAAGGCCACAATTTGGCACTATTTGTCCAGCTTGTTTTTGTTGTTGTCAAAAACCTGTAACACATATTCCCAGCTTGAATATAACAAATATCTATGTAAGAATTTGAAAATACATAAGCTTTTCAAGTCACCGCTCCTTAAATGCGGGACAGAATCAATCCCCTATTGTCACCTCTCTTTTATCTTCACAGAGTGCGACCACATAGTGCACAAAAAGTCTTTATTATATTCACAGACAATGCAGCTGTGTAATAATGCTTTGTCCTTCAGTGCAAAATCATTTTTTGCTGACGTGTGTCTTAGGACCCATAACACTGAAACATCTGAAAATAGTGATTCATTTTAAAAATTTCATTTGAACATCTGCACTAAACAGAATTTACAAAGAAAGAGACATTATTCTGATCATACAACTTCACTGCTTTATGTTTCCTACAGCTCAGAGTCACCCACAAGGGATGATATTAAAGGCTAGTTCTTTTCTGCATGTTGCTAGACAATTTCCAATTACAATAAAAACCTAAATTTCAAGGTAAAATTCCATTCTTAAGATTATATCCATGTTTAAATGCCTAAAAATCCAGTCATTAAATAAATGAAAAGGAATTTTTTAAAAAAATTAAAAATCTCAAACCAGAAATCCCAAGGGTAGAGGCATGTACTGGGCTGGGGGTACTAAAAAATACAATGAGCTATGGAGCATTTTTTAAAGCAAAATGCTTCCATGTGGTCCTTGAGAACTATGAACCTGTGTATGTGCATGTCCATACAGACATACCCACTGCTATTAAGGCAACCTGCCCTCATCTGCTCTGGTGCAGCTCTTTCTGATAATTGAGGTCATGTAACAAAAGGAAATCTCACTAGCAAAAATAAATGACTCAGGTCCTGATGATTTTGGAAAACATGGGAGAAATAGAAAGGTGAATTACAGTGTAAAGACAGAAATCAGTTTTACGTGAAAAATCAGATGATGGGTTTACATGATGCATGAGTACTACCCAGTCACTCTGTAACTGGGTTAGTTACAGTTAAAGGCTGAAGGAGAAGATATTTGCAAAGATAGTCACTGATACTAAATACAGAGAGCAGAAATAAGATCAGGAAATGCAAAAACAATATAGGAGACAAGCCTTAGAAAACATTTCAACCAAGCTGATGACAAAATCAGCTTGGTTATATTACAGTTAGGGTTTAGCATTAAATGCACAATATAAGGTAAAAACAAATTTTTTAACACATTTTTTAATCTACAACAAATTAACAAAAATCACAGATATGGACTTCATCTAAAATAACCAGTATTAGATAGATGAATAATGAAACCTCTTGTTCTAATAACATACTTCTTACCATAAATGTTGATAACAGTGTAGTTTATCATGAAAAGTGGGACTCGAGAAAAGCTGAATGGAACAAGTAGATTGTCTATAAGGTAACTGTGACTAAACAAATAGCTGGCAGCATTTCATTCTGATTAGACAGGGTCTGCATAAATTAAAGAATTACAATTATGTCAGGAACTACATATAAATGAAGCTGATTGTAATACACAGGAAGTACATTGTTACTATTTACTATGAATCCACATACATAAAAACTTTGCTTACTCTTGTTTTGCTCCCAGCATGCAGAGTACATTAACCTGTCCAGTTTCACATAGTAACCAATTGTGACTATTACAATCTATATAATTTATCAGATTTAAAAAAAAAAAAAAAGAAATCCAAGCAACACCTTTCCATATGGCCAATTAGTAAAGTCATAAAACACAGCAAATATATGATGCTATATTGAACATCTGTGCTGGTTATCCTATGGGAATTTTTAATAAAGGACCAAACAGCATATTGATGTTAATTCTATGTTACCGGGACTTTAAATAAAAAACTAAAATAAATAGCATCCATTAAACTGATCATACTGTTGTAACTCAAATTGTGTTTATTATGCTAATGGAACATGAAATTAAGAAAAAGACCTTTATGCCAGTGGAATTAATTAATGAGCTTTATGAAGGCATTGGGATGTAATTTATTTCTAGATAAGTAAGTCTAATTTGCAGTTCCATGGGTCTCTGCAATGCTGATTGTAATAGTTATTCCTGCAGATGTGCTGCTCACAGCATGTCTTTCCATTAGAACTGAACACCTCATTATATAAACTGTACCTAATTAAACATAATACAGTGGTGACTTGTTAAACTGGCCTTTTTAAGTCAGCAGCTGCCTAAGCTAATAATACCATATACAAGATTTATATCATCTACCATATAATACTGATATTAAAATATACTGCCCAAGGGATTGACAACTAATTTACCAGTATGTAACAGGTACACTTCAGATTCTGCCATAGAGATTAAAGACTACTAGTCTATAAAATCAAATGAATTAAAGTTTATTTGGAGTTCTAAGTAACTACAAAAGTTTCTTAATAACTTTTTTCTTCCAACATTTTTAAAAAACATAATCAGAGAATAAAACTCTTCCTGTGTTCTTTCTCCATATCTGATGGGCCATTTTCCTAATGTGGTCTAAATTATTAAAATGTTTGAACACAATTAGGTATGTACATACTGCCCTTGTTTCAGGCAAAACAAAAGGAGAAACTGACAGAAAGACAGTATAGAAGACTGAGAAAAGACAGATACAGCTATTTCTTGAATTTTGCACGTTTGATTCTGTGACTATTCTGTATATGTCCTTTCCACCAAATTGTAGACAGATCTCATATTCAAAACATGACAGATTCCATGAAGTCTATTTTTTATATTCCATGAAGTCAGAAAACATGGAAGTGGGAAAAAACACTGAGAACAGATTGAGTTTCTCATAAGGTAATATATTACAAAGCGAGTAGTAGTTACTTATTAGTAGTTAGCTACAAAATAATATTTTGCATAAACCACGTCTAATCATGAAAACTTTCCATTCTATATACTTCTTGTGGTTTAAGACTTGTTTTCTGATTCTCTCTTCTTCAGAAGCTGGCTCCACTGTCACCTTATGTTCCAATGTAGAGCAGCACTGCTTTTGTCCATCCCATTTTTCCAGTCTCTGGAGGAAGTGGATACGTTTTGCTCACAGATGTATCAGTGGAACTACACAGCTACACCTTCTCCCCACAGAAGCTTGTGATTCTTCTTTCCTTCTTTCTCAAGTCTGCAGACGTAGCTCATTTTCCACTCTCACTTAGGCTATAACTAAACCACCTGAAGTCATGTGAGCAGTTCTGCATATTGCTGCCATCTCTCTCTGAATGAAGAAAATTGGGCTCAAATTCTAAACATCTTTTGACATATGCGACTTCAGGCAATACCTTTAAAAACATGTACAAATTTAGTCACAGCCTTGAGTCCACTGATGTCCAGTATCAAGAAACAAGTAGAAAGCTGAGAAACGTCAGTGTGTTTTTTCAGTATGGACTTTTAAAGTTTCTGACAATATTCACTTTCTCAAACAACCTTTAACCTTTTCTTGCACAGAGGAGTTAGAAAAACACAAAAAAGTAAACATGGTCATACTGCTTGAAGTCCATCACTTTATTTGGATTCTCTTCAAGTTTTGGAAGAAAAGAGTCAGAATGAGATCAGATTTGCTGAGTCACTTTCTCTGTCTTGCTGAACACATAATAAAAGACAGTGTTCTTAAATAAACAAGTGTTTTGCTTTTGTTTTCAGTAAGCTGTGACAATCGAACCACAATCCTCTTTTAAAGACTGCTGCTCTGATGGCAAACTCTGTCACTCTCATACACCTCAATATCTGCAGTATCATACCTTACTTTTAAGGTTTCATGGTAAAGACAGTTTGACAGTCATTCTCCTTGCCACAATACCTGAATCATTCTGAACTGTAGTGTGAAATACATGAATCACTGCAAATTCAAGTGAAATTACAGTTTCTTATAAAGTTACAAATTCAGAGAAGAAAGATCTTTTCTGTCCAAAAGGATGTGCACCAAGTAACAAAACTATGTGCAATTTAACTTTATTGGCAGAACATGAAGAGCAGGCTCCCAGACTAAAACAGTTTGTGCACAACCAGCTTATGCTACTAACAGAAAGAGGATTCTTGCAGCAGAGCTGACAGCACACTCTGAAGAAACTCAGCATTCCAGGATAAAGAATAAAATAGAGAATTTACAGTTAGAAGCAAGGCATGCAGTATGTATGTATGAGAAATAATTTCATTGTTTCCCATAATCAAATGTGTTTAAATTCTGTTATTACCAAGGCTGCATTTTAATTTCCTGTTAGTTACCATTTGTTTCATGCTTTCAAGACAGTCTTCCGACTATTTAATTCCTGTATTTAATTCTTGCTTGGGATCTTTATTGCAAAATCTTTTATTATAAATAATCACTGTACTAAAACAACTTTCTTTATTTTAACATATACTGCTTCAATTCAAAACCAGAGCCTAATTTTTTTCCTAAAAGTCCCATTTAAATTGCTTCACTATCTCTCAGTAATCAAATATGAAATGTAACAGAACAGCAACATAATTTGCTGAGGGTAAAATTTAGTAGAATCAATCAACAATAAGAAGAAAATAGGAGCTCGTGAGCACCATGGGTCCATTATAATTATTATTTTTAATTAAAGTATTCCAGATACACATTAATTTTCTTTGCTCACTACTTTTATTGTTTGACTTGCCTTCAAATTGGAACTTAGAGCACTTTGAAAAATGGGTTGAAAGACTCTCTTGTTTCACAACAGATTGAGTAGTTACTTCTCCATTTGCTGCCAAAATGCATTTTAGTAACATATCACAGCTAAACTCCTCCATGATTCACCACAAATGTCTTCTGTCTCTTAAAGCAACGTAAAACTAGGAAAATATTTTCTCCATACCATATCAATGAAAGTACAGAAATCTCACCAAATGTTTAAAGACATCTAACTGGATCTTGAATTTGAAAAGCATTTTCTAAAGTGTTGTTATTTTAAAATTAAGAACCTTTTTTAGTGTCTCCAAAAAGAAAATAAAAATCCTGTCATTATGCTCCTAAACTATATGACATATTTAAAAATATTAAAGACAAAGATGATAAAACTAACCCCTTTAATGAGATCAATAAGATTTATGCATTTTATTAAAATTTCAACTATTTTATAGAAGAATTTTACAGTTTCTTATCCTGACTGATTCTGGTGAAAAAAAAAATAAAGTTCTAAATACAACAAGGGTGGATTCACAAGCCTAATAATGTGATTGAGTTTTAAATTTACACTTTCAGGAAATTGACAAAATTAAGAAAAATATCCTCATAATTAGATGCTTATGTGAGCTGAGCTTCTAAAACCTTTCTGTAAAAGTGACTCTCAACTGGTTTGATCTCACAGATGCCTAGGAATACTGGCTTGAGAGTTATACTGTCTATTTAACTTCTGCTTTTATAGTAAAGCAGTTATTTTGGAAGCATAAAAAAGATCTCAGACTGTCACTAATAGCTGGTTTTCAACCCCCTTGGGAGATACAGAAGGACAAACAATTGGTGTCGACCAAAGTCTCTCAGAAACTTTCCTCCCTAGAGGGAACTAAAAATATGCAATAATATGGTCAGAAGGGAAAACAATATTCCATAATAAAGACCCCACAAAAAGACAGTTATTTTAGCCTATTACTGCTACCATAAAGTCAAAAGAAGCTGTTGGATGAAAGAAAATGTTATGAAATTACTCATAACTTATTTTTCTTCTCAAGCCAAATGCAAAAGCTTATTGTCCACTGCATTGCCAAAGACCTGATTCACAGATACTCTAAAATTTTACTTTTTTCTGAAATTCTTCAAAACATAAAAAAAAAAAAACCTTTCAAAAAATTTTAGCATACCATTGGCTGAAAAATCAGTATTACATGGTGAATTTGGACAATTGCAGGAAACATAAACATCATCTTCTTCTAAATAACTCTACAGCAGAGCAAAACCTCCTAATCCACACTCAAGACAACTGAGAAACAGGAGAAAAGTGACAATCATTAATGCCCTGCACTATCACTTCCCCAAAAAGACAGTAATTTTTAGAAACTCTGAAAAATTACTCAGAAGACAAAGAGGATGTATATGCATGTTAAAATGTATATATGCACGTGCAAAAAATTCTTTTTGCTGCCAGAACTCAGATACCGTAACACTGAGTAGTCACGCACACACTTTGACAGAACAGAACTGACAGGTTTGTTAATTGCCGACAAAGTTACAGCACTAATATCTTTTCAATTATAATAATATTTTCATGATTTGAGAGGCCAGTCTCCGTTCCCCACGTGCATACCATAAAGAACACTAATGAAATGCTGTAAGTAGAATTCAGACAGTTGTTTCTGCTCCCAGCAAGGACAGAAATCTCCACTGACTTCAGTGTAAACAGAATCAGGCCCTTCATGTGCTTATTAAATAAAGCAGACACTTCTGTCTCAATCGTCTCTGAATACATGCTTTTGATGCCACAAAGGAGATAAGACGATCTGATAAAAGTAATAGATGAAAGTATATTATTATCTATACTATCTCCATTATAAGATATAAAATACTCTGTAGTGTCTGTGTGTATTACCATAAGCTACAGTGAAAGCTGACCTGTTTTCCAGAGGACAGTTTTTTAAGTATGATGCTGAAGCAATTTTTGATGACATACTTTTCTACAACATTTCTCATGCCACTGAAGATTAGATATGTCTGCAAAACACAATATAAATACAGTACCAGAATTTTATCTTATCCCTTGGCCACTAGCTATGAAATACACATTCCAGTATCGGTTTCTATACAAATATGAATCAGTAGGACCTCTTTGGAATTTTTTTAAAAGACAGACATTGTTGTTATTACCATGTCACTAACAACAAGAATTACTATTTTTTAATTGCATGTTCTCTTTCCTCCCTCTCAGGAGGCTCCAACACAGAATCCCTCTACAATATACTTTCAAAGCACTGGCATTCTGAGTGTAGATATCTTAAGCTTTAGAAGCAGATTCTCATAGCACCAGGGTAAAAAACAGTAAAAAATCCACAGTTGGAAGCACAGCTTCCCAGTGATGGAATACCCCCATTTGGTAGGTCACAAATCCGCAGGGAGAGACAAAAAGGTGGGGTTTGCACACCAGCTGGCCTTTGCAGAGAAGAGATGTGAGCTATTCTCATTCAGATGGTGCCTCAGGAGACTCACAGGCTAAGCCAGTACAATCAGGTGACATTGTTTTCAAGACCCAGAACACCATTGAATGACAATTTAATACATTAGGAGGTGCACTGAAGTAGTACTACAAGACCTTAGCTAGGCATGTGTGATGTGCTCTGGAGACTTTAGACTCCATAAGGAAGGGCTTATACAAGGTGGGAAAGAAAGGAATGTTATTGACTCTACAAACAGGGAATCAAGTCAGAAAGGATTTTGGCAGAAAGCTGCTGAATGATTAGCATGTGAAGGAATCCTGGGCACAGTGGATCCCAAAATAACACTGCTGCTTGCCAAACACCTCCTAGTCTCCGGCCTGCACCAATTACTGAAATATACACACAATAATACTCAACAGTGCTTGAAATTATTTTTTTTGAAACTGAGGCCATCACAAATTCAACACATGTAGTGGCATAAGGGGGAAAAAAAATGCCAAGAAGCTTTAGATTCCTCCTCTCTGCATAATGAGCCAGATTCTCAGCTAATGCATAGCCTCATTTTTCCATTCATACCTATTGAGCTCTGACATTCTGTACAACTGGTATGTTTAACAGCAGGGTAAGAATAAACCTATAGACCCAGCCTTAGTACTTTCCAGACCCACACAAGCTCATAATGTGGTGAAAGGTCACAGAGCTGTTCACATTTCTACCCTTTGCCCAATATCACAACTTCAGCCATCCATGAGGTGAAAATGTGCCCCAGCACCAAGTTGTCAAGCTTAATGATTGAGTCTTCCTACAAAAGAAAAAAAGTTCAGTTAAATCTAAAAGCACACCCACAAGTTCTGACCTCTGGTGAGAAAAAAGAATGTGTATTTGTGCCACTTTTAGCTTTTATTAGTTTCCCACCAAATCTCCAAATACTTATTCTGACTTATTCCAAATTTTCAACTTTTAAATAACTACATTTGCAGCTCTGCTAATTTTGCTGCTCTGGGAACACAGCAAAATCTGGCTGCCACAACTGTGGCTCTTTTGTGTTCAAAACTGCATCACTTATGTATTTAAAAATACATATGATATTTATAAAGCCTACTCAAAACATTACTGAATTGTCCCATTTTCATGTTTTCATGACAATTTATATGTTTTCCATATGGGCAAGTGCTGACAATATGATACAAGCTTAATGGAACAAACTGTGGTTTTCTTTATTGTTTTGGCATCAAAAATCCGCACTTGCATAAAAATAACACTCTCCTCTATTTTAAAGGGATGACTTTTCATTAATGCAATTTTAAGGGCAACTCTCTCATTTTACTTAAAAATGGATCAGAAATTTTCACTGCTTACCTGTATTTGGGAACATTACAAATCTATTGTAAAAAGCAGCTGACATCCACAGAGTGCAGAATTATTCAGTTGAGTTTTCTGTAACTTAGTGTGAGCTCCACAAAAGACTCAGGTTCAGGAGGGGAGGGGAAGATGCCTCACTCTTTTTATCCAAAGGCAGACAGATACTTCCACATCATTCTTCTACTTCTGTTTTCTCCCTTCAACGTTCCAAAAGAAGGAAGAGCTAATGCCTTCGAGCATTAGGAGGACTTTGTGTGCCAAAAGTCTAAGGCTGAAAAAGCTGACAGTAAATTATTTCTTTAAAATTTCTCAAAGTCTCCAATATGGCACTGAGAAGAACTAATATTCCTATACTCCAATAGCATATGTACTTCAGCCACCTCCATCCAGCCTCCGCTGCCTCCCTCTCCCTACCTCACCACAATGCTGTCCTTGCCTTCTACTTTTCTTCTCTTCCAATTACTGCAGTCCTAATGTAGAGAAAGCTTTCCCGACCTGAAGCTCCTCAGTAGGCAGTCAGACGAGCCAACCTTCTCTTCACTTAATCCAGCTCCTACACACACTTCACAACATGACAGACATGTCAAATGAGCCATCCACCAGGCCGCTGACAGCAGTTTCTAGGGCATAAGAGACACCGCTGATGGAGGAGATTGTTAGAGGAAGTCAGGAAGACAAGAAGCCATAGGTAATATCACAAGTGCCCTGCTGAAATCTGACAGCTTAATGGGTATGATACTGCTGGTTATTTTATGTATCTCAAGTCTAGGCCTTGAATAATTACTACTTACTACTGAGAAGCTAAAGTGGAAAATAGATTTTGCCAGAGTTAATAACAAAGGCTAGTGCTATAGAAGTTGTGGGTAACAGGCACCACCTCAGTCACAGTCTAAAACATTTTATTTTCTAAGAACTGAATATTGATGGAAGCTGCTATGTAGATGGAACAAAACCAAGTTAATTCACCCACAGATAATGCAGCTGGTATCATATACAAACCTTCTCCTAGGCAGCCTCTCTCTGGGATAGGCATCAGATGATCTGTTTAAGAAGCAGGCTTAAAAGATAGCTGACTCAGACAGAGTCTCTGGGTGAGTTTCCTATGAACCAGCTAGAGATACTTAGCCACCAACTGGCGCCTCTTCCTTCAAGGAGAACACAGCACCTCCACCAACTGTTCTCTTTTGAGGTGACTCACCTTGCTGACACTACTGTCCCTAGACACGCACATACTTCCATTTGTAACTCTCATGCCTGATGGGAGAAAATCTGCTTGTGCTAGAACACTGGAACAGTCTATGAATTGTCACTTCCTTTTTTTAGTAAGACTTATTTTTTATCAGTTGTGTGGGAAATGTACTTCGCGACAGTTTTACTGCCTTCTGTACCCATCCTCCCATTCTCACAGCAAACTGACACTTTGCACTGGTTTGACCTGAAGTAGTTCTTTTTCTTCATGGTAGCTTGTGTGGGGCTGTGTTTTGGATTTGTGCTGCAAACAGCACTAATAACTCAGGGATGGTTTAGTTATTGCTGAGTAGGGCTTACACAGCATCGAGGCCTTTTCAGCTTCTCACCCCACCCCACTAGTGGGTAGCCCAGAGGTGCACAAGAAGATGGGATGGGACACAACCAGGACAGCTGAACCCAACTGATTGCAGGGATATTTCATACCATAAGGCATCATAATCAGCATTGAAAATCTGGGGGAAGAAGAAGGAAGGGGAACATGTTTGGAGTTACCATTTTTTATCTTCCCAAGTAACCATTTTCCCTGATGGAGACTGTTGATGGCTGAATACCTGCCTGCCTGTGGGAACTGGTGAACTAATTCCTTGTTTTGCTTTGCTTGGATGCACAGCTTTTCCTTTACTTATTAAACTGTCTTTATCTCAACCCACAAGTTTTCTGACTATTACTTTTCTGATTTTCTCTCCGGTCCTGCTGGTGGGAGAGTGAGCAAGCAGCTGTATGGATGTGGGGCTTAGTTTCCAAATGAGTGAAACCATAACAAATCCACATGAACTAGAGTGCAGCTTTAGCAGAAGTCTCCATTGCTGACATTCTCCATCTCATTCTGTCCTGTTTATTCTGACTCATGTTTTCTTCACCCATTGTCTTAGCTTTCCTTATTTTGTTACAATTCCTTTAAAAGAGCTTGTGACTGCAATCTAAGAAAGTTCAAGCTGTAATTTCTTTTTCTTTAGCAAATATTTTAAGGGTAGATCTCTCAACAGCATTCATAAAATGAGCATTAACAGCAAACAAAACAAGCTTCTGAGGAACAGAATCTAATAATGACTTCTCTTGCTTTACTTCTGAATTGTTTTCATATTAGGCACAGTATACATATATAGTTTCATTAGGAAAAATTCTCTGCTTGCTCATGATCTCATCCTTTGCAAAACTACCACACCAGTAGTGTTGAATAGGCTATAAATCACTCGGATGTTCACACTCAGAAGTTCACTTGAACTTCTCTCACCAATTAAACAGGGGTTTGGAAAAGCTCTGGATCCAAAAGTTCACATGATGAAAATTTTGGCACAGAGGTGAATATTCTCTAATAAGATACACTACACAGAGACGTGAGCAATATACTGCAGTGGTTCGTTTTCCATCTAAGCATAGTCTTGATTAAATATCTGTCTGCTCCTCCTACATGTCAATAAGCTTGTATTTCAGCCAACTGATTGCTCAGTTACAGATTTCCTTTTCATGTAGCATCAAAACCTACCAAGTTTCATTTGGAGTTTTCATTTTAGTTCTTAATTGTTAAAGTGACTTAATAGTCACTATTAATAATCGAATAATAAATTTTAAAGTTGTATTGCAGTAAGACGAAATGCTACACAGTAAAGACCATTGACACTCTCCTAAAGAATTTTGTTCCTGGAGAGATAAACTTTCCTAAGGAATTTATTTCCTGGATAGATAAACAGGATTTTTTCTTCATAAGGAAATTAAAAAGTAGAAGAGATCTGTTCTGGGAAAATGAAAACAGATATATTTGCTGTTTATCCAGTCTGAATTAATAGTGCTAGTACTCTCAGGGTAACCTGACTTACTCCAGTGAATGTAATTCCTTGCTTTTCAACAAACCATTTGAAAATTAGTTTTTCCACTTTATTAGTCATATATTTAGTCTATTTCACTTACATCACAAGCTTCAAAGGGTCTTTTTCTTCTAGCTCATCTCTGCATTTCCCCCTTAAAACTTACTTTGCAGTTAAAACATCCATGTCAAAAGGTACTGTACCATTTGTACATTTTATAAAATAGAACTACAGCACACACATAAAATAACACTTAAAATACACTTCATTTTTAGGAAAAAAAATATTATTATAGGGGGTGGTCACATTGCTTTAGTACTTACCAGAAATCCTAAAGTGTTTTCAAGTGGACTGAAGGGCTTGACCAGTCCTAACAATGGAAAATAGGCCAGAAGACAATGTCGGGTTTTAAATAATTCCTTACAGAAAGACTCCCAGAGTCAAAGTCAAGTTTACTGCATGATTTGGAATTTAAAGCATTTGTTTCTGACTCGACTATCTTTCAGCAGATGTATTTGAGGTGTACAAACACTGAAAGTCTAGACTCCTTTTTACATAAATTTGATTTTTCTGCCTTAATTATTGTTGATATTGTACATCATTTAGATGTGATTATGTTATATTTAAGTATTCCTAAATGAACTCACATTAATCTAGTTACCTAAATTAGAGTTGAAAAATTACTTTAATGTGACATCCTGTTAATTTGTTCCTTTGGTACTTTAGCTTTGCATCCCTGGGGCAATACAACCATATCCCAGTCTAATGCAAGAGTTTCAAAGCTCCAGTGCAGTACACAAACTTACGATCACAGGAATTGCCAAATATGATCAGAACCACAGGTTCTCACATCCTATCTCCTGCAGGGAAGATGCTCCAGGGAAAGGTATAAGAAACCCACCAGGAAGCAATAACAAAATATATCTTGCAATGTGGTCATCCAACACAAACTATGGAAATGGTGATTTTAAGCACAGCTACCATAAGAACAGAGATTAAAAAAATAGCAATAAGTAATCACTTTAAAGAACAAGGGATATTTCTATTATGTAAATTTCCCATTCCAGTGACACTTGCTACAACTGTGACATTCCAGCATGGGCTACAACAAAAATTATTTCAGGACACAGCTATGGGCAAGAGAGAAAAATGTGCATTTATTCTATATAGTGCTGTTTAAGAAATGTTTCCAAGTGGCTCACAAATTTTTAATCAGGGGAAATGCTTTTGCTTATGCTTTCTGAAATCAGTAGTAAAACTAATTGCATTGTCTTTGGTTTAGAAGGGCAGAATAGAAAGCAAAATTTAACCTTTGTGAACCAAAGGACACACCTATACAGTAGCTTGTGAACCACACAGAGGCTAACGATCTTAATCAATAATAGAATTACAGTAATCCAAAGGTCTGTATACAGCCAGAGCCCTGGCAATATCACAGCTGCAGAAGTTCCACTTCTCTTACTCCATCTGGAAAACGGGGACTGAAAGGCCTGATTTTTGTTCCCATTTCTAGTCAAGACTTCAATCGACACAAAAACTGAGGAGAACCCAGTTCCTCTTCAGTGAAAACTTTCCTAACAGCCATTTTCCATGTCTTCCAAGAGAAGGCCTGAATAAAGCAAGCTGCTTACTGAAGACTGTTTGAAATGAGCTTCCACAAAAAGCACAGATCTTTTGCAGTAAAACCTGCATCAAATTTTACTGGAAAGGGGAAAGTGTCCTTGAAGCACATGAAATCAAGCCTTCCAGAAGTGATAAGGCTAACTACATATAATGGAACTTTGTTTTTTAATATTTTTGCTTGACATAGTAAAAGATTTTCAACTTTGAGATTTGTCAGGAAGCTATATCTGGAATGCCACATGGCAGACCAGAAACTCCAATTCTTTTTAGCTCTATGTCTTTTTGTATAGTTTACAATACAGTCTAATTACATAATCATTTACTCGTCAATATCATACTTTTTCTCCCACAAAGTCAGAGACAGATTATAATATTATACAATATTTTGCACTGTTATAACAGTCCAGTACGTCTTTACCAACAAACTTTTCTGTGATTAAATCCTCATCTTTCCTCAGTAAATATTTTTTTTTATTTTAGACAGCAGTCATATACTATAGAAGTTTTTCAAGCAGCAGCAGTGCTTGAGATGAGATTTTACTTTGAAGCTAACTTAGCTGCATGTACAGGTATCCTACAAATGCAAGTCACATCTCACAACATTCTTAATCTGGTTAATAAATCTGACAAATAGTCAAATTATGCAACAACAGTGACCAGCCCATGACCAACAATAACAGTGAATAAACAGTTGAGAAAAAAATTTCTAGAATGCTTTCTCAGATCTTGGAAAATTAAAAATACATCCAGAATTCAGCCTTGTTCTGTTCTTATCACTTAATTAAATATAGCTACCCAGATCATCTGCCAGGCTTGAAATTTGGATAATCATACCTGTAATGTAGAATAAATCTGTAAAACAGCTGTACTTACAGAATTAATCACTAGAAAGCACCCAGGTGTTGGTGGATCAGCATATCCATGCTTTGACCATTACCATGAGAACAGAATAGAGACCTGTGGTTAGAGACTGCAGTAGCAGATAAGAGATTTGCCAGATTTTCTGGCATACACAAACTGTTCAACAGTACAAAATGCTGAATTATCTGAAGTGATAAAATAATTGTACTTCAGAAATAGTAGCTGACAATGTAGTCAAGAGTTGCTTCTTAGAGGGATTTTATAAATGTGACATTTCTTACCTTTTGAATACTTAACCTTACTCTTTTCTCATGCATTTACCATCAGAGTTGTTGAAGGAGCGTGCAGAAAAAAAAAAATTAAGCAGAAAAGAGCAGCACTAAAAACAATACTGCCTATTAAGAAATTACTAAAGAAAGCTGTAAAATCTTGATCATAAGAATGTATTATTCTGAAATCTCCAGAAAATAAACTCAGAATATAAAATAACTATAGTTTTATCATGAGTGGGGCATTATTTTCACTGTGGTGTGTAAATACTAACAAACCAGAGCTCTTCCATATTGCTAAAGGATAATTTAAGGAAAACGATCTTTCCCTCCCCTTTCATCTTTCTTGTAGAAACAAGATATTTCCTTTTAAAGTATCTTGCCTCACCATTCTCTGAGAAGTTGGGAGCTAGAGCTTTCAGCCAGGCTAGATAAATCTGCTAGTAACTATACTCCCTAGTACTGCCAAAATTGACACAAATGTCTCTTGTAAAGACATTCACTTTTCTGTTTTAAAAGGCATATTAATACATGCACAGTATTTCTGTGGATCAGATGCAGAATATACTCAATAGCTGAAATTGGTTTTATAGCTCTTTTGCTCTCCAAGAAACTTACTGCTTTGGCTGAATTTTGCTTACAGAGCCATCCCATTTCTGCATGATAGAGATTCAAAAATGCCAAATCTCCTGGGAAAATGCATCAGGCAATAGAAAGGACATGCTCACCAAGATCAGATTCAGTTGTGAAAGGGGGAATGTAATTTTAAGGTTTTTTTTAAAAAGCTGTTTTGACATATGGTCTTTCTTTGTACATAAGACAAATAACTTTGAGAAACCGTTTCACTGTACCACATATAGGGCCCTGTAGGGCTTTTTCAGACAAAAGGAAAAGATGGCAGTGTGATCTGCACAGGTGTCCACAGGAGCCTAATCAGAGAACACTGGGACTGCAGAAGACAGACACCAAACTAGAGAACCATTACTGCAAATGATGACAAATAGATGGAAACAGCTTGGTTTAATGGTCAGACCTTAAAGTGAACTTGTAAGATCTATATTCAATAAAAGCCTTTAATGCTTTTGTACTGAAGAAATTGATAAGAGAATCAGTGATATACAAGGGAATATGGAGTACCACAGTGCTAGTACAGGTATTTCTAACAGGAACACTATCTTAATGACTTCTTTCTAGATGTTTTATAATGTGATCAATTGTCGGAACACACGTGTGTGACGCCTACAGTGTCATCCCTAAACCCAGGTTCAGTTGGACATGTAGGCTGCAAAGACTGATGGAGCTTTGAAATCTCTCATCTCTACAAGGTTTCTGTGACTCTGAGCACCTTAATGTTTTTATAAATCTGGTCTATGTCTACTGGAACAAAGGGACTGATTTCTACATTGAACAATGCAGCTATGTATAAACTGCAACTGCAATTTCTTCTAAAAATATTTATTTCAGCTCTTTCTAAATAACTGCAGTTCTGAAGTATAGAAAATCAGAATCATTAAGTTTTATGTCCAACTGTTAACCCAGAACCACCATGTTCACCACTAAACCATATCCCCAAAATATATGGGAAGTTAAGATTAACAAACCTTTCTTTATCATTTCCAGAGAAAGCTGGTTCCCATTTCCAAATGGCTATTTACTGAAAAACACATTCAGAAAACCGAAGCAAATCTTTGGAACATAGGTATCCTTAAAGCAGTAAAACCTAATCTCCCAGATCTGTAAAAATAAATGTGTTGCATTAATAAATATTTTCAATTGTGTGTAGTGTAAAGAGTCTGTTAGCAGGCCCTTGACCCTTTAGACCAAGAAAATATAACAGGAAACTAGGAAAACAGAAACATACCACTGCTGGACATACAGTGGGATGTGCTGACAAGTGCAGTGCAGATTGTAACAGGTGTCTAACAGAAATTGTTCAATTTATGACTTCTTATTTTAAAAGCAATACATACTTATTATACTTATATATATATATATAAGTATAATATATATATTATATATATACACTTATATATTAATATACTTATTAATATATACTTATATACTTTTAAAAGCAATATACTTTGCTTTATATTTTCCAGTGACTGGGAACCACAGAATTTATGTGCAGGTAAAGCAGAAGACTGAATGTTCCTCAGCTGGCCAAACTCAATCACCCTCTTCACTGAAAACCAAAAGAACAGAATTTGACACCCCCTGAATTTGTAATTAATCTTAGTAAAAAATTCTTCCATACCTGAGACATCACTGGATAGAATATTTGCACAATAGTTCTAAGATGCTAGTACTATGGGTGCATATTCTATTCATTTAAACATAAATAAAAGCATATATGAGACAAAGCTTGAAGATCCCCTATCTAATTATATTTTTATAAGTTTAATCATACACAGTAAAATAGTGGGGTTTTTTCCGCTATTGAGGAGAGAGGTAAAAGAATCAAAGTTTCATAAATTACCAGTGACATGAGATGGCCAGCTGAAGACATCATAAGGATGCCTGATCACCTCTGAAAACCTAGAGCAGGCACCCAAATTAGTCTCCACTCTTGAAAAAACGGTTTGCTCTCTGAAATCACAAAAATATAGAGCATATGGCAGTCATACCACAAGAATAACACAGAGGAAAATAACAAAGATACTAAGGTATCAAGCATGGTAGAACTGTAGCACAGAAGGAAAAGGGCACACTGCTATTCAAAAGCATTGACTTGTTTGGCCTATATGTCTCAACAGGGACAGGCACAAGCTATCTTGACTTGTTCTAATGAGAGAAGGTTGCACTACCCTCCACCGACCCAGAGCTGTCCTTGGGCATTCAGAGTACAAAAAAACTCATTACCGCTCCTCTATATGTAGCTTCTTGCAATGAAGTTAAAATGTGGCTTTTTATACAAGCCATGTTACAAGATAATTTCTCCTAAAAAAAACTTAGGAAAAATGCTCTTAAAAAAATGCCTGATCTATGTTTTCAGCCCACATAGATATTAAACCTAGTTTCCTAGACCCTGAAAAGCTAATTATGCATTCAATTAGAGTTTCTTAATAAAGATTAAAACTCTGAAGTCTATTACAGGCCCATATTTAATTCAACTGCCATTTTATCCATGCCATGAAAGTGTGAGTGGTAACAATGAATATAAATTATAATACATGCCATAGAGTGAATGCTATTTGTCCAAGTACGTTACTATAAAGAATTAAATTTTGCTATCGGTTCCATAATCTAGTTAAAATTGGTATTCTTTATTTGGTCTTTCAATGTAGTCCAATTTCCTACTTTGAAAAACAAATTCTAGGGAATAAAGAAAAGAGATTAATTTATCATTAAGACTCTGCTTAATTGAAGTCAATTCCGAACAAACTTGAATTCAATTTCTACTCATTAAATTGAATGTGCTCTGCGTTTCTCTCTGCATTGCTTTGAGCAAGCAGCTGAGAACAAGGGACTAACATCAAAATTATTAAATTGAGGAGATTTTATTTGGTCTTCACATGCCAGAGCTGCTTTGATGAGGAGCTGTTTTGGCACTGAAAGGAAACGAGAGCAGCTGGAGGAAAAATCAAATGAAACTAAGCCTCGGAAAATTGAAGAAAACGCAAGCTTAATAATATTTAATAATTAAATTTCCACAAACAATAGCGGCAAATGAAGTAATCTGCAAAGTCTGTGAACTCATTTGCATAATTGATGCCGGTCCCCTGTAAATGAATAATGAAGATAATAAAAGATGTTTCTAAAAATGGGCACAATAACAGCAAATTTCATCAAGCCGCGCGCTCTGATTAATCTGCTCTTGCAAATCAGCAGTGAGGGGGGACGCGTGATTACCCGTGCGGCGGCCGGCAGCAGGCGGCAGCCTGGCCCCGGCCCTGCACCTGGCCCTGGCCCTGGCCCTGGCCCTGGCCCTGG